CTCTTTGGTTATTAAAGCTATTTTGGGCGACAAGCTTCATGTAAGTTTATCAAAGTACCATGAATATTGAGAATCGCTGGGCAGTCGATATGGGGGCTAATTTTGTCAGTGCTGCTGGGATGCTTCCACACGCTGGATGTAGTTATGCCAGGCTCTTCCATTCTGAAATATCTTGTAAAATTAGTGTTAATAAAATTTGTATTTAGGACTGCTTTGAGCTTTGGGATGGCCGAGATATAATAAAATGCTACTAGCCGTAACTTAAGGGGCACTGAATTCGACTAAATTTTGCAAACTGAGATACGAAGTTTGGTCACAGAGGTAACAAATAGTTGGGCCGGTGAGTGCTGACTGTTGACGAAGTCCACTCGCAGTGCTGGGTTAGGGCATATTTGACTTAATGGACCGAAACGTCTTATCTCGCTCTTGCATTCTCTACTACACTATTCTGTCTTTTTGGATTCCACTGTGCCTTCGCCACCTATGCTTCCAGGTTCAGGCCAGAGCTGCAATCTGCCAGTGAACAAGAAATAGTCATTTTTAAATAATTTTAGATTTTTGTAACACCATTAGCACTGGAACTGACCCAGCGAATCATAGAGCAGGCTGCAGCTGCTTTCTTCTGTATTCATCCGGCTTTCATTGTCCAGCATCTTTATGCAATGTGTTCCTTGCGACATCATTCGCAGCCACTCACCGAACCACCAAACAACAAATCAGGTGAAATTAGGCTCATTTATTTCGCTTCCTTGCAAACAACTCCCAGTGCAGCCTGGAATTTTCTGGACTGGAAAGGCACTTTTCTGGAACTAGCTATTGCAATTACTTCCTCATTAATTCTAAGCGCATCGATATTTAGTTTTCTAATACAAAGCGTACAGAATGAAGTTTTGAGGTGCCACTGATTTTTGAAAAAAGTGCCATTTCTCGTAAGATCCCTGGAGAATAGAAGGGCGGTAGAACCAAAATTGGGCGGCGCATGTAGGGCCGAAGAAGAGAGTGAAATTGTCAAGTGGTTTTTTGCGGCCGTTGTAGTCCAAAACATGCCTTCTGAAGTAAAGGCCCGTACAAACTAAAGAAAATTCAGAACGGATGAACTCCTCAAGTTTTAAAGGTGGAAGGGTGCAATTTGCTAGTGAATTGTGATAGGGGAGATAGCTGGGTTATTAATGTGGTTCAAACTTTGAAACATTTTGAATAGTCATGTACATGGAATATATAGGTTGGTCTATTCGAAGTTTTGCTCAATGCCTCTGTCCGGAGAACTATTAAAGTGGTAATCACTTCACAGATGAAATGAATGTTAGAACGGCCAGTAAGCGAATCGCCAAGCGATGCGGCACTGATAAGAACAATGTGAGCAACTGCATAATTCAGCAATTTGACTGTAAATTACAGCAGATCGAGATTTTAGCAAAAAATTTAATTCTTCCTGAACATAGCTAAAAAAGTCAGGTTTTGCAGAGGATGAGGTGCTGTTTTGAATATTTCTCTTTTCATTCTGTTGTGCTGCCCCTCTTTTAACTGTAGTATTTCAGGCAGTGAGGAGGATCGTACAAGTTTGCGTGGTATTATCAATTTTCCAGATATAAATGTCACATTCTTCCAGTGTGGTCTGATTGAAAAAACCATACAGTCCGCATCGTTGGAGGATTCCGTGTCCCACTTAGCACGTAGCAGCGTGATTTTACTTCATTTCGAAAAAAGTGACCTGTTATTCTCAAGACAAGCAGTGACTAAGGTAATTGCTTATCGTTGTTCGTATCCATGGTAATTACTTATTCATGATTTTTGTTGGGCACAACCCTATACTTGTTGGACTCTTTAAATAAATTGATTAAATTTGCATATTTAGAAAAGTACTCTCATTAAACTGACGAGTTTTCAATTAGCCGGAAACTACTTATGTACGACGAGACAATTGAGAGCCCACTATTCGATTAGAATCGTTTCTTCTAGGACTCGTGTTAATTGTAAGGTACTTGTTTTTCAGAATAAAAATTTGCCGGACATGGAATTCACACTGCAAGGCCATGCACAGTTCCTGCAATTGGTTGAGTCATGGAAACTGGATTTTGCATATAACAAGTCATTTTGTCCAAATTACACAACGAACTGGAATGAACTGAATTTAAGCGATCGTCTTACTGGATACGATCTGCGAGTTGTCGCAGGTTTACTGTTAAAGCTTGTTTAGTTCTTCAGCTGATGGTAGCGCCTGCTTCGGAATTATGGATGGGCAAGATCTCACCATAGGGAAGCTTTTCAGCATCGCCTTTTATGCTCGGAGTATTTTTTACCCTTGTATTTTTTGTGTATTATTTATTTCGTACAACGGGCATGACGTAGCTGCAAGTAACACCGCTCTCGTACTGAAAATCATGAGCTCGGCACCCATCCGGGGAAATCAACCTTGTTTCGCCGGCAAATTTTTTTTCGTTGAGGAAATCAACCTTGTTTCATTCGCCGTTTCGTCGGCAACTTAGTACCAACATATGATGCTAGGGAACCAAAGTCGCATTCAGCTTTCCATCCCTCCCATTCAGCATCTCACAAACACATGCAATTTTTTGGTCATTTCCCCATCAACAGTTTGACTTAATTACATTTAGCATGCTTCATTTTATTTTTCCTAAGCCGCCTTCGAACGAGGGAGCCATGGGCATCGTTGCCAACGGGTGGTTGCTAGTGCTAGTTACTATACTTTCAAATGC